ATGTTCTATGTTGGACTATTCACTGTTCATTTGGATTGTGCCAATTTGTATAAAGTTTATGGAATCTGTCATGTATCACCCTGTAATATTATCTCTTTATTTTCTTCATTGCGAATAAAAACATAAACAAAACCTTCAAAACTTATGCTGAGTTTTCTGTGCTTGAAGAGTAAAAAAGGGAAATTCTATGTGTATAGTAATATAAAAAATACATTTCCTTCAGATACTGACAACATTGTCCTTATTTAGTACAAAGAACTAACAAATCAATAAGAAACATGAATATATAGTGTAAGATAGATGTTGGGGAACCAATGAAACTTAGCCTGAGAGTTGATGCTGATTTAGTATTTAATAATACAGATATATCAATAAGTATGAAAGAATCACTTTAGGACCGTTATGAGGGCACTACAATCAATACTGCATTATAATTTCAAACTTGGGACAGATTATCTTACACAAGTAATAAGAAAATAAAGCAGCCATTATATCCCAAAGCAGACAAAATATTTTGAACAATTATCAAAGCTGTTAAATATTTTTGGTTCACTTAGTTATTATCATGCGATAAATGTGGCAATTTATCATGACATTCCAGAAGAACTGGATTAGTCTGCTGCACCACAAAAAAGATTTAAGAAACCTGCATTTTAAATATACATTCTTACTTTGAATAAAAAAGGTGGACAAATAATTGAAAATAAATTATTCACATTTTCTTAATTTCTAAAAGTCTTCTCAAAGTTAATATTTCAAAAATATCTTCCACTTGGAAAGATATACTTTGAATTACAGTTTTGGAGACAATTATGAGGGTCCCTTGGTGATCTCAAAATGATAAGCAAGTTTGGATCCAATTAGTTTTAGGTTAAGATACCATTTTCAAATTTCAACACGGGTGGAAACATTTTACATTTCTACTTATATACCAAGACAACATATTTTGAACACATTCCTCTAAAGTTTTATTAAACAATTCAAATCTTTCTCCTTCAGGTTAGGTAGATGTAAGTTTAATGTTTGTTTAGAAATACATCTGCAGCCTCAGGTCTTCTGAATGATATCTTGCTAAGTGAAGTAGATGCATACAAGTTCATCTGTTTCCTATCCAAGCAAACATGCAATAAGTAACCATTCTCCATTTGATTGAGAAATACTACAAAGCCTTTATAAAGACTTCATTTGCAACCTCTGTCATTCAGGAGCTGTAGAAGAAATAAAACAAGGCAATGACAACCATATCTATATTGTTTCAAGGAAACCCAAGGTCATCTCCATAAAGTCATCAAGAGCTGAACTCAACTTGAGAGAGTCTTTACTTTTTATCCTATGAGCTTTATCCTTCATAGGCACAAACCCATATTTGAGGTTAGTGATAAATGGCTTCTGAATTGGTGAATGTTTATTTTAATGTAATTACATGCCGTGGCAAGTTCCCTTCCTGGAGTATGTTCAAAGAAAAAATCTACAGGCTTGAAGAAGCCTCAAGTATTGGTCTCTGTACAGGCTTGTGTGAAGCCTCAAGTATTCATCGGGTGGTCAACTCCAAGATAGCAAGCAACAGTTAAATTTAACTGAAATTTAGTAATATATTTCATTGCTTAATGCAATACATTTTGAGTCCCTCCTAGTATATAATTGGGTTAGATTCAGTTTTTTTTACTACCGGTTCTGTGGGCATGGCTTGGTGGGCGTGGCAGGGCAAGGATACTGCAAAATCTCCAATCCCTCCCCACCCCACTAACCTGCTTTCCAGCTCTGTTCTCCTGTGCAGGGCAGCAAAAGAAGACCCAGCCGATCAGCTGGGACTCAGGAGGCAGAGACTAGATGGGGGCAGGGCGAGTCAGAGGTAGTATTTGCCGGTTCTCCGAACTACTCAAAATTTCCGCTACTGGTTCTCCAGAACTGATCAGCGCCTGCTGAATACCACCTCTGAACTGATAGATGTAAAGGTGACAACAGTACAATGGAATTGAACAGTCTGATGTTACATAGTAAATATGGTTGCATACATATATTTTGAATGCATATTTATATATTGGCAGGGAGATAATCTGAAATATTACTGTCGGTCTTGGAAAAGTGACTTTGGGCCAGTCACTCACTTTCAATCCAACCCACCTCACAGGATTGTTGTGGGGAAAATCGAAGAAGCTGTGTTGGATATGTTCAGTGCCTTGAGTTATTTGTAAAAATAAAGCAATATAAGTAAGTAAAAAAGAAAGAACTATTCAACCAATGTATGATTCTCTTTTCTGATTTATTTTTAATTAAAATATCTACAGAAGACTTGAGTTTTAATATGGGACTAGTAAGAGTTCTTTTTACCTTTTTTTTTTTTTTTAAAAACTTCCTTATCCTCTCCCAGTCACTATTTGCTTTACAGATAAGCACAAATATCTACCGTATTTTTCGCACTATAAGACACATTTTCCCTCAAAAAAGTGGAATGTCTGCATCTTATAGAGCGAATGTTGCTGAAGTCCCACCTACCCACCAGCCCCCACCCTTCGGCCTCTGCCTCCCAGCAATTTGCCTCCTTGCAGCAAGCAGGTTTCCATGCATCCCGCTTTCAGTCTCCATGCATCTTGTTTTCAGCCTCAGTGTGCCCCATTTTTGGCCTCCGTGCGTCCCGTTTTTGGCCTGTTCCAGACAGTGGCGATCCCTGCCACCTGGAACGGGCCAAAAACAGGGTGCGCAGAGGCCAAAAACAGGATGCACAGACCCAAAAATGGGGTGTGCAGCGGTGGCGATGGGTGGCGGTGATCCCCACAGCTTGGAACAGCTGATCTGGGAGGAACAGTATTCTGGGAGGCCGATCCAACCGCCAATTAGCTGCTTGTGCTAAATCAGGCTGTACTGAAGCTGACCAGGCTGTTTGCCGTAAGGAGGCAAGTTGCTGGGAGGCAGATTTTTTTTTCTTGTTTTCCTCCCTAGGTGCGTCTTATAGTCTGGAACATCTTATAGTCCAAAAAATACGGTAATTATTTTTGTCTACATTGTTACCTGCCTCAAGTTTTATGCCTCATACTCAGTCACACTCACAATATAACTTGGTTTTGATTTTCCATGTTAATTTATCAAGCCATTGTACTTTGCAAAACATGATTTAAAGCTTTGTATATTCTTGACCAGATCACACTTTTTACTTGTTAGGTGAGGATTATATTTTGAGGTAGAAATTAAGGTTTTATCCCATTAAATTTCGCTTGGTAAAACTCAAGGTTGAAAGAAAATGAGCATCCAATACAGGAAAAGTCTCCTTCAGCAGGATCCATAGATTTTTGCTGCTTTTGCTAAGAATGAAAAAAACAAATGCAAATTCTGTTCCTTTGGGCTGTACATACATGTGAGGCTACAGAAAAAGGCTTGGAAAAGGGACAGGGCTTAAGTGATGAAGCTGCCATGTTGCTCATATCATTCTCATTACCTTTGTTCCACTAAAAATATCCCGTCTACCTCAAGCTTGATTTCTCATAAATTCATGAACACGTCTACACAAGCTTTTCTGGCATAGCATCAAAGTGATTTGCCTTTGTCTTTGTCTCCTTTAAATCATGTTTTTTTGACATCCCATTCATGGATAACAAGACCTACCTAATTTAATTTCTGAATTCAGGCCAAGTCAGAAAACAGCTCCAAAGTAAAAGAAATAGCACACATTTTTAGTTATCTAGAACGTTGTTCTCATCTGGATTCCTGATTATTGCGATGTATCACACACACCCATATTGTGCATACTTAACCTTTAGTCAAGCAACTAACAGAAACATCTTTAAAAACTTTTGCTAGATATGTGGTACTCCAAGATTTGACTTCCATAAAACCAACTTTGGTTTTGTGGAAACTCCTTAGTGACATTCATTCAGTTAGTACCTGTATTTACAATTATTTCACTTTGTTTTAAAAATGTGCCACCCTATTATTTGCCTATTACGTAATAGAATCTGCAGTTAGATATACTTTTATTGTTGGATTTTATGTTCTACTAGATTTATATAATCCACCAGGAATCCTAATGCAGTTGAGAATACAGGTGGTCCTTGACTTAGAGCAGTTCATTTAGTGACCATTCAGTTATAACACTGACAAAAGTGACTTTTTCACACTTACCATTGCAACATCCCCATGGTCACATGATTAAAATTCAGATATTTGGCAACTGGTTCATATTCATGATGGTTGCAGTGTTCCAGGGTCATGTTATCCCCTTTTGCGACCTTTTGACAAGTGAAGTCAAGGGGGAAGCCGGATTGACTTAACAATGTTACTAACTTAACAACTAAAATAATTAGATTGAAAAAGGCTGCCATATGAATTCCATATGACAACTGATAATTTAAATATGATCTGGTGAACATAATATGGTAGTCATAGTGCAAAGCCATAATGTATCGATTTACATTTTATGAGATGCCAGAAACAATAAACAAAATAAACATCATGGCTTCATGCTAAGTCTACATAAATTGGTGTGAGCATTTCAACTACAATAAAACAAATAAAATGGAATAGTTTGTGGGACTGTGCAAGAAAGGAAACTGGGTAACTAACTTTTGTACTGTTCTTGGAAATCCAGGGCTAAACAACAGAGGCAGAGGGACAGATGAGGCAAAGGTGGTTCACCAGATTTATTATTCTACTAGTTTTGTACGTGTTAAGCAAATACGGTTGCCTATGACCTAAATAATGTGTATAGGTAATACATTTCAAGCCACGCTGCCTGTCACACTCCCTTGAGCTCCTCCTGTCCGCATGTCCGTTGTTTTACACAATCTCCTGTCAAAGTAAAGGCGGACGTGGTACAAATAACCCGTTTAAAAAGTTGAGGGGGAGGGAGAGTTATTCCCTTCTTCCGCGCGGGAACTTGCAGACAGACGCGTCCCCGGTTTCATAGGCGGGCTGAACGCGGCGCTCCAGCCCTTTGTGTACAAACCACACCCACAACCAGCCTCCTAAACCGGCCCCTGCTTCTTGCCCTTTACTGCCGGCGGCCGGCTAGGTTTTCCTTTTGCCCTTCCTTCCTTTGGCCCGAGCCAGCAAGAGCTGCTGCATGTGCTGACGAGAGCGGCGTCTGGCACCGCGGCCGTTCCTTGGCAGCCGTTCTGCAACTGCCAGTCGCCAGTTATGTTCGACTACGACGAGGCCACCGCCTTTCTGGGCGAGTGGGGCCCCTTTCAGCGCCTCATCTTCTTCCTGCTCAGCGCCAGCATCATCCCCAACGGTTACACGGGGCTGTCCGCTGTCTTCTTGGCCGCCACCCCCGAGCACTGGTGCCGGGTGCCCGCTAACGCCAACTTGAGCGCGGCGTGGTTCAACGCCAGCATCCCCCTGGAGAAGCGTGGCGGGCGGCAGGTACGGAGCCAGTGCAGCCGCTACCGCCTCGAGGCCCTGCTCAATTTCTCGGCCGGCAACCTGGAGCCCGGGCGCGATGTCAACCTCAGCCAGGTGGGGCAGGAGGAGTGCCTGGATGGCTGGGAGTTCAGTCGAGAGTACTACGACAACACCATTGTCAACGAGGTAAGCAGGTGCGTGCTGACCTTGGGGAGGGGGAGGGGGGAGAAGTTAGAGGAAAGTGGCCGGCAGCGTGACGACCTCCCAAGAGATCAAGATCAACCGGGCGATGTCAGCTTAGGAGAAAAACTTGCACGGACGACTGCTGAGAAGAAATTACTTTGGAGAGATGAAATTCAATAACTATTGTTATTGAAGTACAATATTTTTAAAATTAACCTGATAATACCAGTCATTTAATCATGGTGTTTGTATCTTTTTGTAAACATATTTTTGACAAATTCCAATTCAGAAACAAAAGCCACCAGATTTTTCATCTGTAGAAACTCACAATATTAACTGTTCCATTCAACATTGGCCCACATTTTTGAAGCCTTTTTTCTGTTTAAAATTTCAGATAATGTTCAAACAAGCCTTGTTTCATAAATTTCTCCAGGAAACTGCACAGATTGCATACTTAATAGAATTGCCACAACTCTTCTCTGAATGTATGTTTAAATCTGAGACATAAATATTGCACATTCCTTTATCAAAATTATCCTTTTAGACTGTAATCCCATTTATGGTTACCAAATAGTAAGCTCAACTTTTAGTCTATATGAGCTCCTAAATTACAGAGAGCCAGATTAGTATAGTGATTAAGATGTTGGCCCAGAAACCAGAAGACTGGGAATTAAAAGCATGAAAGCCTGGTGTGTGACTTTGGTCTTGTCACTCAGCCCAACCCACTTCACAGAGTTGCTGTGGGGAGGAAAGAGTATTAGATATGTTTACAGTTACTTATTAAATGATATGGATGGGATAAAAATCTACTAAATATTATGTATTAGGGCAGTCAGAAGCTCTGTTGTGCACAGATGAATATAATGCCTGTTTGCTGCCCTTTAAAGAGCTGTATCTTTTGCCAGAATCATGTGGCAGCCACAAAGAGAAAGAATTCAGCTCGTTAAAGAATTACAAACAAGTGCTATGTTTGTACACTGTTTTTTCTGAATTTGTTCCAAAATGCTCCACCATCCCATTAGACATATATGATGTGTCACTCTATTTATTTTTATAGGTCATATGTTGGGTATCTCAGCTTTATTGAATAAGAGACAACCCATGACAAGCTGGGTCATTATTTCAGGGACACTTTCATACCTAAACAGAGAAGCAGAATAACCATGGGCAGGCAAAAAAGCAGTAGGAGTAGAGGAACTTCTGACTTACTGTCAGCTTCCTCTTTCACTTTCCTTGTAGGAAGGTGGCAGGGAGTATTGGAAATGAAGATCACATGACTGCAGCACTGTAGCAGGGACAACTTTGCCAAATTTCAATCCAATAGGAGTCATGGATCCCACATTCTTAGACCATTGGAGGGATATTGATTAAAAAATGGCTTCCCTATGACACACCATTTCACGAATTGAAGGTTTGCAAATAATCAAATTGATACAAACGTTTTAGTAGTATATAGATATGAATGAGTCACAATGAATGAGCTGAGATATGAATGATCACAATTTCAATAACTAGTAGGTGGGATTTGATAATTGTGTGTGTGTGTTTGTTAGTGTTTCTATGTGGAGCATGCTTCTTTACATGGTCCTGACTTCACACAAAAAGATAAAAAGAGAAGCAATGATAAAATATAGTAAAGCAATAATGAATACTACTAATTAATCCTCAGTGGTTTACATTAAAAGATTGAAAAACAATAGCTTCAGAGATAAGAGTATCGTCACCAGTCACAAGTTTGGCAGAAGTTTATTTGCCCCTTGTCTGACTTTCTAAAAACCTGTTATAATTGATGTTTCATTGGCAAAGTTTTATTGACTCTAACCACTTTTAAAATATAACCTGTTACGTTCTTGGAGAAGTTGCGTAAGTTGTACATATAACCTTTCACCCACTTTTTCAATTCTAGTCTTACCTTTGTTTAACTTTTAATTTGTTGATTCATTCTTGCCAATTTGTTTCCAGCTGAGCTGCATGTTTTAGCTTTTCTTGTCATTTTTTATCAGGGAGTGATCTTGCCTTGAGAACAAGCCTTCCATGTCCTCTACACTGTTCTAAGCCACTCTTTGCTTAACCATAGTGCCACAATAAACCATAATACCTCGGTTCACACAATATAGACAATTATCCTGATCACATCTCATTACGCCTTACTTTCTTATATGAACCTGGAATTTTGATTTGTAAACTGATTTATGGTTTAGCATGTTCTGTGAAGCTAGCCAATTGTGGTTTATTCAGTAAACTATCATTAACCAAAACATGACTTGGATGAATCTACAAATCAGGGCAGTGTTCTAAACCTGCTCATACTCCTCACCCTTCAATTTCTAAAGACTAAATACTATTTTTTTTGGACTGCAGTTCTGTAACAAACCGCACCTATATCTCTCTTAAAACTATGTTTCAAAAGTACAGAATATTATAGAAATAAATGTGATTTTTGTGAGAAAAGCAGTTGTAATCCCTTCTCATTACGTATTCAATACGAGTTTCTTAGGCACCAAATTAAAACAAGTTACATTCCTGATACTAATTTTGCATTTAAATGTAAAGTCACCAATTTCCTAGTCGTTTAGCTGTATCTCCAATATATTATGACATTAATAGTCCTACCCTTGAATTAAGAAACATTGCTTAACTTCCAATAAGTTCCTCTAACAGTTGTTGTATTAATTACTGCCTCACAAGCATCTATCCAATCATGGTAAATATCCATTGGTTCTGAAGGATAAATGATAGGAATCTAAAATTCTTCCAGATGTACAGTATTAGGATGTCACCCCAGTTTTCCAAGCTCTGTCCATCTTAACACTGCAGGATTTAGAGAAAGGATATGTAAATTGGATCTCAGGGTTCCAATCAAGTTGTGTTGTGGCTTCCATTTAGATTCCCTACAACCCATCTTTGCCTGGTCAGAGAACTTCTCCAAGCCTTATTTACAATGGAGACCAGCATATATTCTTATTTTACCTCTTATCTAAAAACAAATTTGTAAGGAGGCTCTGAAAAATCCTCATCAACAAAAGTCCTGATCAAGAAAAATCCATTAAGAGTTGGCAGAAACAGCATATATAATGTCCCAAAGGTGATTGCTTTTCAGTTTCTATTTGTCTTTTGTCAGGATTTTTTTCATATGTTTATTCCATCTCTTTTGTAAGATGAAGATAAGAAAGTTATCCAAAGCATTCTTCCAGTTTATTGTTTGCATTTCTCTTTCAATTATTAAGATCTTAGCTGGTTTCATTTTAAATCTAGTTTCTTTGGGTTCCCTCAAGTGTCCAAATATCAAAGTCCCATCTTATCATCTTTTTCCTTAATCCATAATCTTTTCCCAGGAAATATTCTCCTAATTAATTTCAAAATCTTACTTCAAATCCATCTGGCTCTTTAATCTATTTATAACTTTTCAGATCAACATTCTAATCCACTTTTGCTGTTTATTCCAAAATATTTTTTTAAAATCCTTGCATAAAACTTGCTTTCATCAAGGATTGAAGGAGATTCACCCCTGTAATGAATCTTGCCTTTCCAAGAGTTCTTTATATTATATTATTGTACTGTATTGTAATTATATTATGTTCTGTTCTGTTCTGTTAGGTTCAGTTAGGTTGGGTTAGGTTAGATTCGGTTAGGTTAGATAATGATATTATGTTAAGTTATGTTATATATTCCTATTCTATTCTACTCTAGTCTACTCTACTCAATTCTAATTGTATTATATTACTGTATATTAATTATATGTTATGTTATATTATTATTTACACACAAACACAGTTAACAAGCAATTTCCGGAAGTGATTATGAACAGAAGTATGTGAACCCAGTGTCTTTTTGATGGCTTCAATCCATGAAGATCCCTCATCTCCCAGTGCTCTAAAACCCTCAACTGTCTTCTTGTCTTCTTCCACAGAACCATTGTATGGAGCACCTCTCCTTTATCAGGAGGAATTCTAAGGAACTGATCCGTTCACTGACTTCTCATTGTGCTGTAGATGTTCAGCTCCATTCTCAGCAGAATTGTCTTCAAACATTGTAATACATCTCCCTCATTATCTGACATTCTTCTCCACTGAGCCGAAGGGAGAATCCAGGATGGGTAGTCTCCAGTCTCATAGCTCTGCAGACCGAGTTCAAAAACTGAGGACACACCTCCTGGTAACAGTCCCCAGTTCTTCACTCGGTCTCAGCGTGTTCAGACCACTCTTTAAGGGCTCTGAATAGTTCAGATTGTAGAAGAATCTTCACCCCCTGGATTGAGGTGTTTTTTTTTTCTTCAAGAGGCTAAGAGCAGGTTTGACAGCTAGCCGGCTTGCTGATTAACACTTTTTTTTTTTGCTTTTTTTTTTTTTTGACTGCCATTTAAAAAAAAAATCTTTGCTGGTAGACTGGTTTTTGGAATTGTGATTGTAAATTTGGTTGGAGGTGCCCCTGAGAGACCATGTGGCCCGGGCTGGGGGAGCGGGAGTCAGTGTCTTATTCAACTCACTTTCTCCCGGTCTGTTCTTATTGATCTGTGCTAGCCGTGAAAACCACAAGGTGCTTCTGCCCCTTTTCGGCATCAGCAGCCATTTCAGACGTTTTGGGACCATTCTGCAGTTCGTCTCCATGATTGTCCCTTGGGGTGGGGTGGGGGGGTACTGGCCATCTGGATTGAATCCTGACCCCCTGTCCAGTCACCAGAGCACCGTGGCAGCTGTGAGACGCTTGAGACTGCCAAATTGCAGCCAGCACTGGCTTGCAAGCCTCTGATCTGTCAGGGCTTGTAGCAATTTTAAAGAGTCAGCCATTTTTTTCCCTTTTTGCTTTGACTCTTGCCTTAAATTGCAGAGCTGTGCTGAGCTTACCACTTCTGGGTCGCATTAGCCTCCTGAAGTGGTGGACAGCTGCTTGACCAAAGCAGACAACTTTAGATCAAATAAATTTTGTTTTTGTTTTTCTTTTGCCCCTTTTTTTCCTTTTCTCTCTCCCTGTCAATGTCAATTATTTTTGGCATGCTCAAAATGGACGCCAGGGGAGCTGGCCAAGAATTACCAGCTCCTCAGCAGAGTAGGGAGAGAGGTGCAAGGGGATCAAGGTGCAGGCTGCAGAAGGGGCAGAGGGGCAGCTGGAGAAGGAGCAGAGAGGCAGCTGCAGGGGGCTGGAGAAGGGGCAGAGGGGCAGCTGCAGGGGGCTGCAGAAGGGACAGAGGGGCAGCTGCAGGGGGCTGCAGAAGGGCCAGAGGACTCTCTCTCTCTCTCTCTCTCTCTCTCTCTCTCTCTCTCTTTTCTTTTTCCCTCTCTCAGTCTCACCCCATTGACTTGACTTGCTTGGGCAGTTCCCTCCAATGCAGTGGGCTCAATGGGGTGGACCTGTGGGGCCGGCACCTAGAACGCGGCAGTATCGGCATATTTGAAAAGCAAAGCCAGAGGTCGGTAATTTTTGCTGCAAAGAATCACAAAAGCTTCTGGGTTGTGCACAAGATGGGACACACATGTCAATGCAATTCAGCAACATAAAATAATGAGATACAAATAAAATAAATCAACAAGAATCGGCAAAGCATCTCTGATTAGATTTTATTCACTGCTAGAATCTAATCAGAGATGCTTTGCCGATTCTAGTGCAATGACCTGCTCCAGCAGGGTTAGAAGGGAGTGTGTGTGTATGTGTGTGCGTGGCTGTCAAAACTCCAAAAATGAGTCAAGTATCTCTGGGGAGGCCAGTCATAAATTAGAACACTTGCTAAACAAATGGACATTAAGTGAGGACCATTTGTATTTGATTTGCTAGTCACCTGACCACACCCACCCAGTCACATGACCACCAAATCACACCTACCCCGTCATGTGACCAGCAAGCCATGCCCAGCCAGCAAGCCACGCCAGCCAGTCACATGACCAGCAAGCCTTGCCCACCCAGTCATGTGACTAGAGAGCCACGCCCTCACATTAGGCCACGCCCACAGAAATTTGAATCCCACCCCGGGGTGGGGGGCACCGAGGATGAGTTTGTAGCACCAAGGGGGCGGTGGACTGAAAAAGTTTGAGAACCACTGCTCCAGATCAAGGCAAAAGCCACTCATAATAATTCTGAGCCACCACAAGGATTTTTGATTGCTGCACCTGGAAGCCAAGCCTTCAGCAGAACCAGACCTGCGCCTGAAAATAAAAAAGCCACCCTTACTCTATAGTGGCTGGGTTGCGGCCTGAGGAGACCCACAGGCAAGAGATGCCATCCTTCATGAGAGCCTGGATCTCCCAAACAATTAGACAAGAACTTCAGGCTTAAGTCAACCAGCTGCGCTGGTTGCCTGGTTTGGACACCAACAGAGGCGTTCCTCGGGCAGGGGCAGGCTTCTGCATAACAGCCGATCTACTTCAGAAATAATTCTGCATCCCCTTCGGAAAGAAGCCAGTCTTATGTTTCCGAGAGGGACCTCCTTCCAGAGAGGGTTTTTCGGACGGGGAGTTGGAGGTAGCAGGTCCCCACTTCCTTAAGGACCTTTTCCACCTGGCTCTCTCCAAGACTCTGCTGGTTAAGGCTAAGAGCACAGCTCATCTTAAAAAAGGGACAAGGTCACCTGGGATCTTCCCCCAAAGGGGGAGGATCAGGAAGATTACCTATTCACTGAAAAAGCATCTGTGGTGGACGCTGTACCTGTGCCCCAGATGATTATGAATGTGATTAAAAAGCAGTGGGAGTCCCCTGGGGGGTACACTCGCCCCAGTGGGTCTGAGTCTACCTTATTTAATGGGTGGCTGTGGCAGCTGCAGTGTAGTATCCCACCTGAGGACCTCAGGCTGCATCAGGACTTAAATAAGATAATAGCCACAGCTCAATCGACAGGTAATGCCACCCTCAAGTCAGCCAAAACTTCTTCCAGAGCTTCTCCCATGGCCTCATCTGTAATAGCACGTAGGCTCATCTGGCTAAGAAATTGGCAGATGGATGCCAGAAACAAATGGAAGCTGGTGTTTGCTCCCTTCAAGGGAGAGAAGCTTTTTGGAAAGGCCCTGGGTCCCTTTTTTTGATGGAAACCAGGGACAAGTGAAAGATCCTGCCCTCCCAGGGGAGGCGTTTTGATTACAGGTCTCCACCCTACTACAGAAAGCCCTCCTTTAAACAGGGGGAAGCTGGAGCAAGCTTTCCCCATGAAAGTAGGCCCTTCTTCCAAAGATCCTCATTTCAGGCCGATAGACCGGCCTTTGCCACCAGAGGGCATCAGAGGCAAGATGACAAAAGGTCCTTTCGGGGTTCCAACAGACCTTTTAGATACAAGAAGTGACACCCAAGCCTCCTCTCCCACAGGGGGCCATCTGGGACTGTTCTGGCAGAGGTGGGAACAGATCACAATGGACGCTTGGATCCTGACAACTTTATGGTCAGGTCTCTCTCGGGAGTTTATCCCCCCCCCCCAGTGCCTTTGTGTGTTGCCCCGTCTCAAGGGACCCCTCAAAGAGGGATCTCATGGAATCGGCGATCCACCATCTGCTGGTTCCTGGAGACCAGGAGAGACAGAAGTTCGATTCAATTTGGTTTGTGATTCCAAAGGCCGGGGGAGGGTGGCGAGCATTCCTCAACTTGAAAGGGCTCAACAGGCATCTAATCTACCGAAGATTCAAGGTGCACTCCCTCCACTCTATCATACAGGGCCTGCAGGAGAGAGATTTTTTTGGCTTGCCCATAGACCCCAACCACCATCAGTTCCTGAGGTTTTGCTATGGCGGCCACCATTTTCAATACAGGGCTCTCCTGTTCGGCCTGTCATCAGCCCCACAGACTTTTACCAATTCCTGGCGGCCGTAGCGGCATACCTCAGATCCTTACCCATAAGGATCCTATGCTATTTGGATGGCAACCTGATAGCATCCTCTTCCAGACCCCAGGCGGAGGAGGATATGATGTCGACAATCAGGATCCTTCGAGAGCATGGGTTCTCGATAAACCTGGACAAATGCCACCTAGCACCATCAAACTGTCTCACATTTGGGGACTATCATAGACACCTTAACTGGCCAGGTCTTTCTCTCACAGGAGCATCAAGACAGTATAAGGGACGTCACATCACAGATCCTGTCTGCCCAAGAGGTGCCTATCATCTTGCTGTCTCAACTTCTCGGCAAGATGATATCGTGCATCGGGATCATCCCAGGGCCCGCTTCCTGCCCAAACCCTGCAGTGGTTCCTGCTCCCCTACCAGAAGGCAGGCAGGGGTGACTCACCAAGGAGGGTTCACGTCCCCTTGCTGGTTCTTCATTCTCTCCATTGGTGGCAGTCCCGAGCCAGGGTTGCTTGTACAGGGAGCCCCAGAGGATTACCATCACCACTGACACCAGTCTGTATGGTTGGGGGGCCCACCTGGGAGTCCAGGTGAGGTGGTCATGGGAGTAGCTTGCCCACAACATAAATTGGCTAGAGCTCAGGGCTGCCTGCTTAACTCTCAAGGATCTAAGGCAAGAGGTATGGGGAGACAGGTTTTTCTCCTCGCAGACAATGTGGCCACCAAGGCCCACATAAACCAGCAGGGGGGCACTCCCTCCAGATCTCTAATGCAGGAGGCGACTTGTTTGTGCAGGTGGGCAGAGAGACACCTGTTGTCCCTGCGAGCAGAAAACATATTGGGAGTTTTCAATGTGCAAGCAGACTGTTTGATCAGGCCCACAGTCGACCAGTCGGAATGGCGACTGCATCCCAGTCTGTTCTAGGAGATGACAGAATGGTTCAGCCATCCGATTCTGGATTTTTTTGCATCTCCAGAGAACTCGCAGCTCCCGAGGTTCTTTGCATGGTTCCCAGCACCAGGAACAGAAGGGGTCAATGCTCTCCAATGCAGGTGGCCCCAAGGGCTATTCTATGCCTTCCCCCCTTCCCCTGATTCCGGGAACAATCAGAAAGGTACTGACAGGGTGGAGGTTCTCTTGGTAGCCCCTTACTGGCCCAGGTGCCCATGGTTTGCCTACCTGGTGGGCCAGTCGGTTGCCAGACCCTGGAGAATTCCCCTGCACAGGATCTCCCTCAGCCAGGGCCCAATTGAGCATCCAGATCCAGCCTGG